ATTCACAAGTAATTAATGCATTATTGAACAGGAATAAATAGATAGCAATTAAATAACAAGTATTAATGACTTATTTATTAACATATTAATAGTTGGCCTGAGAGTAATAAATGCAAATTAGTGTAAAGTGGTACCAAAAATTGTGTCGATAATAGGCCCTGAAGTAATCTTGTGTGTTCAAGATAATTACAAATATATTTTCCTTTCAAAAATCTACTGCCGGGTAATTTTTTATGGTTTGCTATAATATCATTTTAAAATTAGAAAATTAGCCTTAGTCTCATTAAAATAATTTTGCAGTGCATCAGGCTTTATTTCAAGTGCAAGTTTCACATTATCTTCCTGCCTACAGACCTTGTTTTTTTTTTTCAGAAACCCTCCTTATGTGCCACCATTTAGGGCCTATGCTTGGTACACTAACAGTGTTGGTTTAGCTTACTACTTGCGCAACTTTTACTCATCATTAGTATGATTATGTAAAAAGTACCTCTGCAAGTAGGGGTGGTTCCTGGAGGGCTAAATCCAGTCAAAATCTCTAAAGGCTAGATTTTTTTCCTTTTTATTCCTGCTAATAACAATTCACCAGTCAAAGAGTTCAGAGGTTTTAAACATGAGCAAGGTGATGCAAAGGGCTCTGCACACTTAACAACTAATCCAGCCACAATAGATCCCACTCAGAAGACCATCCCTGCTCAGCTGTTTTTCTAGAAATATCTTTTTTCAAACCTTCTTATTTGTTTAGACAAAAAGAAAACCCTGCTTCATGCCTTGGTTGTGAACTGTTACTTAACTTTGGAAAACCAATTACTTGGTGAGGACAGTAAGACATTGTCACTTTTATCACTCCTACAAAAAAGAAAGGCTTGACTAAAATGTGGAGTCCTGACCTCATCACTGGTCTGCTATCAATGGCAAGTTAATGTATTCCTGTCTGACACTGGTCCTGATTTTATCGATTCTAGAATTTGGCACACATTTAGCATGTGACCATGTCTAATAAAAGATGAGTAAATATTCAGCTCTGCCTCCATAGGTTGAGAAATGGAGGTCCAGGATTCCTCCTAGCAGAGGGTGCACAGAACACTGTTTCTGCAAATGTTTGTTTCTTCAAATATTTCTGTCTGCCTTTGTAGGGGGCATTTTTAGTTCTTTGCAGCTTTCCTCATTAAAGGCATTGTAAATGACTTTTTTTTTAAAAAATCAAGTCCATTTCTGTATGGTACAGGGGTTTGGTGGCCCTCTCCCCACAGTGCCTTCCAAACCACTACGTAAATGTGATTGTGGCCATGTAATCTGTGTACCTGGAAATATAATTCGTTTTGTTGCTAATGAAGGTCCTACGGCACAAATTTATTAACAGTATACTTTTCCATGGGATAATAATTGGGTCGATAATATTAAACTCATAGGCTCATTATTTAATTGCAAGGGCAGATTATGAATACAGCTTCTAAAATGTATTTTAATGAAAAACACTACATCCTGACCTAATCATATCAACCTTATGCTATCTAATTAAGGATGCAAAAAATCATTAGAGTTGCAAAATATTAGTTCCAGCTCCATCAGGCTGTTAGCTGCCCCTTCATGAATATATATTTTTTTTTACTCTATGATAAATAGTTAATGAAGTAAAAATGACAAAATTTGCATGTAGGCAAATTAGTTTAATAGACTGATGTCTTCCTGGTCTACAGAAAGTGACCTTTTTCCTATCAAAAGAATGACTAAAAATACTTTGAAATGATGGCATGGATGTCATTCTACAAATGACAAATCACTTCTCTGAACAATATAAAAATTATAAAATGCAATAACCTTAAATTCTCATCATATTGTAAATGTGTCCTCTGCTGCTGCATTTATCAATTTAATAAAAGGAAATTAAGCATATTATAAAATACCCATTTATGGGGCAATTTTTAATCCAGGGAATAAAAATGAGAAGCAAGTGGTTAATAGCAAGAAAATATTGCAAAAACGTAGACCTATTTTTTCCAGAAGGTTTGACTGACTATTTACTTGAATGACCTCCATTTAAAATATATTTTTTATATGGAGTGATGTAAGATATGGCAGCCTCATGCTTCCCTTTATAAAAATTGTTCACAGTTAATTTTGTATCTTATTTAAAAATTAACATATTAATAATGCACGCAATAAGGGCTAGTGATGTGTCTTCCATACTGATTACCTTGTACAATTAGACATACAAAAAGAAAGGGACAAGACAAATACCTTATGCAAATCTATGGCTGAAAAAAGGGTCTTTCAGTATCTGCAATGCCTAGGAGCATAAAAGACCTACACATATAGTTCTCAGTCTTGCAGGGAGATGCTTCATGAGGAGAACATTTTTCTACAATGGAGAAAGTCTTTATTACAAAACTAGATTTACCAAAGAGCTACCAAAACTTCTTTTGATGGTTCTCTTTTCCATCAAAATAATATAAATAACAACAACCAAAAAAAAAGAGTAGAAGGGGAATATTTCAGGTTTCTGAAGAACATTTGTTCTTTTTTCAGAGTATTCATGTTTTGTTCAGATAACTCAGGAGTTTTGGTCGTCAGTCTCCTCTTACAAACTTCCCCCATTTGTGAGGCAGATCGTGTGCCACTGAAGTAAATGGTAGAGATCCTGCTGATACCAGTGATGCAAATTTCTGCACTGTTTCGACATTGTTCATACCTTCTTTTGTTATATAGACTGCACCAATATGTCCCATAGAGTATAGGAATGTTTAATGCTGTCCCAGCCTGGCATTTGATTAGGGTTGATACAAAGGAAAAGACATGAAATTCATGCAGATGGAGACAGAATAGAATCAGAAACTTAGGAGCTTAGTAAAGACAAAACTGCACATCACTTTGCTTTGTTGAATGAAATGTGCACTGCTACCTACACAGCACTGGGATTCTTCCCTCTGCTCTGACTACACCCTCCGTGCTGCTGGATTCGGCTGAGGCCCGATCCATTTTAAAGGATCTCAGACTAAGGTCAGGTAGACACATTTAAGTGTGGCATTTCATGCATGCCAGGCTGCATATTAGGAAAAATACTAGGCACTTACATGTGTCTATAGCTGTGGTTCATGTTTTTCAGTATTTTGGCCCTTGAAGTATGTATTACCGTAGCAGTGGACAGTCCATATTTCCTCCATTCAGCGACAGACTATTTGTATACAGAAAGGTAATTTTTCTTTCCATTCTTTTATATCTTTGTCCCCAACCTCTCCTTTCCATCTGCCATTCTTTTTTACCTTTTCTTTTTTTCTCTTATTCAGCCCTTGCTGCACTGCTGCAAGAAATGATGCACTGATAATAACATTAGAAATTTATTCAGTACTAAAAACAGAAAGGTAGTTGTTTGCAGTTGCCTCATCTGCCCCTTTTTCCATATGGCATTGGTAGTTCAAAAGCTTCTTGAACTCTGTCAGGCTTGGTGCTGCGACCAGTTCTCTGGGAAGCCTGGTCCAGTGCCCAACCACCCTCTGGGTAAAGAACCTTTTTCTAATATCCAACCTAAACCTCCTCCTGACATATAAAGTGAGGTCCACTATATATATTCTTTGCTTGACCTTACTTGTAACAAAGGTAATAGAAGCCAGTCATCAGTGGTTATGCTTTAACTTACTGTAGAAAGATTTCAAAATTAAATAAGTTCTATCTGCATAAAGAGTGGGAATGGCTGAGACAGGTGTCTGTGGAAACACATTCACTCCATCCAATGTTTTTCCCTCTGTTGAAACACTATGTGCTGCTTTGCACTTTTCCACAAAAATTAAGCTTACTGAGTATCTGCTTTTTCATTCAGTTTTTCCTTTCAGGGTCCAAACTGTCATCATGAAAAAAAAGTGGAAAATAATTACAGCTGTGGCAGATGTTTATAACAGTGACAACTGAGGCTGTATATTTCTATAATGCTGATCTTTCAGAGGTAGCTATAGAGACTTGAGAAACCTGCAAGACCCTAATCTGAAGTACTTGTCCCAGTGGATTAGAAAGGAAAAACAAAACAACTCATACGTACTTAAGAGGACTAATTTCCTTCCTATATGGAATCTGTTCATTTTTACATTGAAGCAGCAGAGTTACCAAACAAAGCATTGTATTCACAGGTATTCATAGATGTATAAATCAAATCGATGAGCACTTTTAACAATTAACCAAAAGCTGGTTTATGAAATAGTCCCATGGGAATTAATAACACTGACGCAAAGCTAGAAAGCAAGGAAGAAGAAGTCCCTCACAGAAGGAAGACAGTGTGCCTCACAGACTGCTGACCATGTTATTTCTTGTATTTTCAATCCTCTCAAAGCAATTATGACCAGAAGCCTCATCTGTGGATGACACCTCCACTGCTGGACACTTTGTAAACACAGATTAATCTCCTATACATCACAGTTTAAAGTGTATATTTGAGAGACTAGACACTAGTGGATGACTGGAAAAGAAATAGAAGTTACTTTTGATAACCAAAGTGGAGAACCTTCCCCTGCACATTTCCAACTTACCCCACTCCTCTGGGCAATCCTGGAAGGAAAGAGCCAGAGAGCAGAGCACAGCTATCATTTCTGACTGACCAAAGACACACCCTCCTCAGGGCAGCTCCACCTACACCTTTTTAAAGAGTGAATTCTACTTGTTCATGGAACTCACCAGTTTGCTGAGCTGGCAGAGAAATTATCTGGGACGATACTGACATTTAAACAAGTAGTAGGTCTTTATGACCCATTCAAGAACTAGTAGAGACACAGATCATTTTTTACACCAGTGATGCCTCTAAACCTTTGGTTACTAAGTAGATTGTAACCCCTTATGATGTTCAGGTAATGCACATGCAACTTCACAAATTTCTCCTGAACAGGCTTAACTTCTCTCTTCAGTGAAGCATCCTAAGAATAACTTTCTAATATCTATGTCCTCTTTGGTAACGCCCAGAAATACAAAGCATTAATTTGGATTACAGACTCCTTTTGCAGACTCTGTTCACCACTCACCATCCGTCTTTCACCATTGATTCCTCTCCACTGCTCAGCCCTCTTTATAATGTAGCTCAGCTCCTGACTGGAAATCTCGAAGTCCAGTGGAACAAAGAATGTGCCTTCCTCACCATGAATACGTCGAAATACATCCAACAGCCAACCTTCGCTATGTAGCCTAAGGATAGAAATGACACAACGGGTTCATTTTTGAAAGGACTCTTCACACACAAATAAAGCATCCTACAAAAGTTGTCCTTTTGTGGACTTCTAAATCTTGATTTTACCTTCATGACTATGCTCTCCACCCATGAATAAGAAGCTTCTTTCCAACAAGTTCTCCAACATACAGCCCTCCCCAACCCTCTGTAGGATTTACAGTACCTGAATCAAATCACATAAATGTAGCAGAAATTTATTTTAATTATTAAAAAATTTTTACTTCCCAAAAAGATCCTGATCCTCCTTTCCTTTGTCCTTAGCATTGGGCTGGGTAACTATTCCAGTACCATAGTTAGGCATAAATGGAAGTCTTGGTGTGCCAAGGTTCAATAATGGGAAAACCATGTCATAGAGAAAGGAACAACTCACCATTATTTTCAAACCTAAGCCTGGAGTCTACACAGTCTAAACTTCGCTTGATGTTAGAAAAGTTCATTTCATTTGCTGGCTTTGTTTTTCTATGACATTTCTGTGTTGTGTTAAGGAATTGACTAAGCACTACACAGTAAAACTTCCTACCACAAGAAAGACTTGCTGTGTGGTATTTCTTAATGTAGGTGAAACCAAGAAATATTGTGAGGCTTTTGAAAAAGTCTGGTGTCACATTTTTAGACTAAGATGAACTTAAAAACTTAAAAAAATTGCTATTGGATTAAAATCAAACTTCTTCAATTCATCTCTTTTTCATTCTACTTTTATTCCAAAACAGGGGTTCAGAAAATAAGAATCAGAAAATTTGGAATCTCAGTTTAGGATATTGGATGGAATCTTTCCTTTTGTACCCTCTTCCAAGCTAATACTCTATTACAATTCAGCATTGCTTGATGCCAATTTCAACCTTTTTGTCCTTCTCAGAGACTGGTTGGGTAGTTACGTGAAGTGCATAGATTGCTGTTTGGCTCTACAACAAAATGCCTGGTTTTCAGTGAGGCTGTACAATTCCTTCATTGCTTGGTAGGTGGGAGGCAGAGCACAGGCATAACTCCTTTTACCTTCTGTACTCTCATCCTTCACACTTGTGACTGTTCTTGTGACTGGTCATTATCCTTGGGTCTTGTATTGGCCTGCATGTGCTGAACAATGTGTGCACATGGGAGAGGCAGAGGGTTGTTTAAGTAAATCAGAATGAACTTCACATTTACACCAGTTCTACATCACATTACAGGGCTCACAGTAAGTGCAGAGAAACACACTCAATAAGCTGCTTAGTACACTTTTGCCCACAACTGAGATTTAGTTTGGAACAGAAATAAGGAGATGCACCACAAGACAGTTTTTCATCTTGATCTCAAGAGGAGCTTTAGCACTCCCTTTAAAGCGGAATGTGTACCAAACTCTATATCCAAGAGTTTCTGTGAAAGAGTAGCTATTCTGATACCAAAATCTGGCAGCCTGGCTCAACATCAGATTAGGAATTTACATCTCATGCTTTGCTGCAAAGGTGTTCTCTGACTTTTTTCCCCACCCTTCTTTTTTTGAAACATTCTTTTTTGAAGCTGCAGCCTTAAATTTGCTGTAGTTTCAAAGATGTCACTCTGGGATTCTCTTATGAAAAGGGGAGAGCAGCTGGAAGAAGACCTAATCAAGAGATAGTTAGTCCTGGGAATATAAATAAACTGGCTACAAGAAATAATAGAAAATACTCCAAAGTGTGAAATGCAAATCAGTGCTAAGGTAAAGTAGGGTACTAGAGTAACTTAAACCATGCTACAGTAGAAATTATTTTTTATAAATAACTAATATCCTTCACTGAGTAATTTCCCAAATTCCACAGTGTCTTCAAAGAAAAGCTTTTCTCCTAATCTCTGGATATATCTCAGATGAACTTTTGATACAATAGATACATTTTTGCAAGAACTGACTCATAATTTAGAATTATCTTGTACTTAGTTGAAAAACTAGCAGTCAAGCTGATGAGCTTTCTGACCTTCTGCTCACGTTGAAGCAATATTATTCCATGGTGTTAGTATTCGAAATTCCAGGTCAGCAATTTAAATGGCTTGTCACTTATCTTGTTAAACAAGAGAAGGACCTTGCCCTTTATTTAAGCTCACTTAATATAACATTCTTATTTCAAATTAGGCAAAATTTAATGCAGTTAAATTACTGTCTATTTGCTGCCATAAACATTTTCTATATGAAGATTTTAAGTACATGGTTATAAACAATATAATTAACTTTGAATTAATTAAGAATCATGAAGGCTGTCTTCCAACTTATTTCCTTTTGTCCAAAAGGACTTAGCCTGCTCTTATTACCTGCTTTAATTTCTTTTCTTCAACATGAAAATAATAAAACACTTCTTGTACCTTAACATGTTGTTATAAATATAAAAGTAGTTGTCTCTATTGCTAATACAATAAAAAAACATAAGTCAGATTATGTTTCTAGACATATGAGAATCAGTATAATACCCTACAAGTCCATTTATTTGTCTTTCAGAAAGAAGAGAAAACATTGAAATGATTTACTATCCAGAGTCAGTTAAAAAAATGGGCTTCTCAAAGAATTACAAAAACCAAAAATTGAAAGATAGTTTTAGTGGTTTAAAATAATTTATTACATCTTCTCTTGAGCCTTTTCTCATCCTTTTTTGGAAAACCACTGTTAAAAAATACAAAAACGGTTTTGCTGTTAACACTGAAAAATGTAGATTTTTGAAGCTTTTTCCTGCATAATGTTTCAATACCAGGAAATTCAGACACTTTCCAGCAGACACTTTTAGTTGAGAGGGGTCTGCATTTTCTCACAGTACAGAAAACATTTCACCAACAAATTCCTGTCTGTTTCTAATGTCTAGAGGAATTAAACTGAAGGAATTGCAACCAGTGCCACTTCATTTTTCCAAAAAGTAATTAGAATATCTCTCCATGCTAGATGTACTACAGACTCCCAAGACACCCAAGGGGAGCCAGCCTTTTTGAGGTATTTTGGTTTATAAAGATGCAAATAGATGTCTACTGCTGCTTATCCCCTGTCCATGATTTCATTAGCTTCCTGCTTGTCCATCAGTGCTTCCATGAAGCTTTTTAGCTGTGGCAGAAACAAACACTTCCCCAGCTTCCTTTCATGGTCTTGTGGGTTCAGCATTCTTATCTTTTTTTTTACACACTGTCAAACACTTCAGTTTAATGGCAAATTGCTGAGTAATTCTAAAAAATGTCACCAACTTCTCCATTCAACTTCCCTGTGGGTTAGGGTCTTAAGACAGAAGATATCCCTCAATATTTATATTGGTTTACCTTATAAGGGAAAAATAAGGTGGATATATGTTTAAAAACATATTTTCTGAACTGAGCAACATTAGATTTGAATGTATTTGAGGTATAACACCTGAGAAATATTCCCACAAAAGGTTGCTACTGCCTTGGTTATAACACTATTTTCTCTTGGCAACAAATGCTATTATATCAATATTCAGGAAACAGTATTATGAATTACAGAGATGTTTTCCTTAAAAACGTTTTAAAAGGTTTTAATGCTGTCACTGTTGGACTCACATTGTGCTGCTCAAGAGTCCTAGCTACATCCAAGGTTCCCACTCCATTGGGCTTTAGACATACAAGGAAGAGAAAGTTGATCCAATTGCAGAAGCTCATAGTATAATTTTACTCTGCACAGACTCCAGTATTCAAAATTTCTCTTTTTGTTATCAAGGAAAAACTTCAAAGACTTTATGCACTGTAACATATTTTGTTATTTTCCCTTTGCTTTTGTATTTTGCAATGAATCATTTTTAAAATGTATTGTGCTAAGACAACTTTTTTTTCCCTTAGTAACATTATTCTCCCACCCCTTTATTGGAAAACATTATGGGAAAATTGATCCAGAAGGAAAGATACCTTTGATGATCTTGCACCTGTTCCCCAGACAATGAAGATGTTGGTAATATTCTCATAAAAACCTGCCTTACAAATGTTTTAATTTAAATTAATTTTCCTGAGTAATAAACGACAGAAGCTAAAACTTATGAAGCTATTCAAAACTATTAAGTCAATGATTAAGAAGGCATTAACGTCTCAAAAACTAATTAACTAGACTACCAGTATATTGGAGTTGTGTACAGCTTCCAGGAATGCAGAAGCTTTGAAATACTTTGCAAAAATTTAGATGGCCATTTATCTTTTCCTGCCTTCTGCAGAGTTTGTGAAAGGGTGACTGAGGGATGATTCTGTCATATGGAGGGAGTATGCTGGGCTTTTCTATTCTTACATCCACCTGCATCTTGCCTTTGCATATGGCTTTTTATTGGTGCTTGCCAGCATTCATCCTTGGATGAATAGAGGGCCAGTACAAAACTCATACCACATTATAGATGAGCCACTCAGAGATTTTGCTCTTCATGTCATATGTAGCTTTCTGAAATTTTTCCTCTTTCTCACAAAATCCCTGCTTATAACACTAAACACAACATCTTCCAAAGTACCTAAATAAAAGGTACACACACTTTACAGCTTATGCCCTTGACACAGACACCATTGCCTGAAGCCAAAGAAACAGAGGCTCCTAGACTCTATGAAAAATCATGATATCAGTTGTGCTCCTGGTGAGGAAGTAAATGGCTCCATCTCTGCCTTGCTGTGCCCAGCAAATCCCAGTGCATTAAAAGTTAAGCAGAAGCTAACCCCTCCTTGGTTATCTGCAATTCTGGACTCTGGATGTGTGACACTGACACGTCTTTTCTGATGTCACCTTATTTTATCTAACAGGAGAAGGGGCATGAGCCTAAGCTCCTAAGGGAATAATAAGATAAAGAGACGTACCTTAAAAAATACAGGTACAATACTGTCGATGAGATCATGAACAGGATTGTATAGAGCATCACAGTGATTAAGGCACCAGGAACCCCTGACTCTTCAGCTCTTAGAAAGACCCAGGAGAGCTTTGCAGCATCAGCAATGGGTTTGTCTACACTGTTCCCAAATCGCTGCCACAGAGAAAGAAAACAATGTAAGAAAATTTCAAACCTGATTAGACCATAGAGACAAAAGAACCTGAATTTCTTTATAAGAAGAATTTAAGTGTATTTTGCAGGGAACACAGTCTGAAACTTAGGAGTCTCCTATACAGAATTTGAAATTAACCATGAGATGTGAAATAAACTATTTTCTAGCTGATTTTAGTACAATTAAAATCTACCCTATAGAGGTGATTTATTCAACAAAACCCATGTCACAGTGAAAATACTCAAAGTGAACTCTGTTATTGTATTTCAGGAAAAGTGGAAAGAGAATAAGGCTGAAATTTGCCTTATTTCTATGACCAAGTAGGCATAATATTGAATAATTTGTTTTCTTCTCGAGAAATCTATTATTTTCCTTTTTTTTCTTTTCCCACCCCCCCATATCTAGTTCTTAAAAACTAGCAACTGTATTGACATATTATTGCCCTCTGCTGGATCAATTTAGAAGAATTTAAATACATATCATGGATCTTCTTCTACCCAAAGCTAAAATAAATTCCTCTCTTCACTTTTTCCTTTTTAAAGTGACATGGTGACAGCTACACCCATACTAGATCATGTTGACACATTTTGCAAGGATGTGAAACTGAACCACGAAAACATCCAGTGTTCATCATTCAGAGAGAGAGTCTGTGACCTTTAGGCTTCAAGAAACCTGCACCTTTCTGAGCAACTTGGCTGAATTAATTCTTAGGAAATGTCAAAACTTTCTTCTCATTTTTGGTTGCCTCCTATACATGCAGTGACACGCACAGCAAAGGAACAACAACTACAAGTCCAGTGATGAGCTATAGAAGAACTGAGATTCTTGAGGACATTTCTGTTCTCTCTTCATCTTTTGCAACACTGCTAGATTTCTGTAATGGAAATTAAAGGTCCCAGGACACCAGTAATGACATATAAAGACTAGTCACTAATTCAGAACTGTCCATATTTGTTGTAATGGCCAGTCTTCGCGAGCGAAGATCCAGGGAAGGTCTTTACACCTTCCAGCCTGCGCATTGGATTTTTTAGGTGAGACACAGCGTGCACGGAACTGAGCCTACCCTTTAATCCTAAGGTTCATCTGCCGGGGCCAAGTGAGCTTGGACAGTGGCAGTGAGGTCCTTAGGACGTAGGTGGGTTGCCTTTAAGGGCTAACGAGCCCCACCTGCCCGGGAGTGGCCCTGACCGGGAATCGAACCCGGGTCTCGGGGGTGATAGCGCGGCGCCTTTACCACTAGACCACCAGGGGCTCCAATATTTGTTACAAAACTATTAAAATACTCTGGTTCTGTTCTATCTCCCAGTTATATCTTCTATTCTGGGGGAAAAACAAAAACCCAAACAAACAAGCAAAACACAAACATACACAAACAGAAACAAAACCAAAAAACAACCACAAAACCCAAATACCATAAGAAACTGTCAACCAAGAAAAATCCTCTGCACAGCAGTCACATCCTGACATTCCTTCATAGCAGCAAATTTCTCTCTTATTGAAGCAGTTCTATCTGGTAAGGCAAAGATGGCATGGGAGAACTGTTCTATCCTTTTTTTCTAACAAAGATATTCTGTCAATCTGTGTACCTTCTCTTATCCTCAAAAGCATGATCCAAGAAAAGTGTCTTCAGTTCAAATTGTTAAAATAGCATTTGTCAACATCTTTCTCAAGTACTTATCATACTATTGAGGGATGGTCATGTGAACCTTTTGCAGTGTCTACTGGTTTTTACAATGACATGTGGCCAAAGAGGTGTTACTGTCTGCTTTTTAGAAGTTACAAACAGATGAAGTGAATGGGGTCCCAGGAAAGCTCTGGCAGAACTGGAATTTGAACTGCATAAGAGTTTCTTATCCCTGGAACATCCTTCTACAAGCTGACATTAAATCAAACCTAAAATCACACATTTGACACAGTATTTTATACCATTAGTTTACACACACACACACCACAACGCAACTGGTCTCTAGCCTTTCCTTGACAATGAAAAATATTACTTAGTAAACACAAAAACTTTTGTCTCCAGGGCTATCTGTCATCTTTCATAAGTATTAAGGCCAATTAGAATACTAAAATACATTCTAGCACTAAAATAACTCATATTGCCACAACATAATATTTTAAAAAGGTTTGATCTAAAATAGATTGGCAAGTAAATCTGAAATAGCTGCTGAAAGAATGCCAGGAGAAAAAAAAATTACAAATGCAATAATGAAAACACATGTAAGAGATATAGTTTCATTTTGGAAAGGATACACACAGTATATTGTGTAATATTTGAACAAATGAGTTTCTACCAAAGATAATCTTGGTGGTAAGACTGCCAAGTTTTCAGTATGAAGTACGGAGAGTGTGTACTTTTTTAATATTGTAATGAAAAACCAAGTTACTTTATTTGTATCTCGTGTTTCCTCCTGACCAAGTGCTATTTGAAATTGGTAATGATCCTGTCTGTGTAGAACTAAGCCCAGTGCCACTGAAGTCAATGGCAACAATTTTCTCAATGCAAGTGTGGGAAAGATAAGGCAGATCTCAGCCTTTCTTCCAGTTTTTATGAATACACCAGCATTAGAAGGGAAAAAATGCATTTCGATATTTCTGGCCTGGTTATTGCAGGAATGTCTGTTTTTCTCTTAGGAAAAACATATCTCAATCCAAATAATTATAATTAAAATTCAATTCTGTGCATGTTTTATATCAATAAAATTTAAAACTAACTAAATAAATATAGACTGTCCAAGTTAAAACTAGAATGTGTTGCCACATGCTCAAACTATTGTAATAACCTCCCAAGTGAGCTCCAATTAAATTTATTGAAGAGCTGAATTTTAGTTTTCAAAACCATTGCAAGGGGAAAGAGCATTTAAAGAGTAAAAAGCACCTGCAGAGCACAGATTAGCAGATGAGGAACCAAGAGATTTGAGAAAACTTGATCCCCACCAAAGCCTATGGATTACTGCCTGATCTAGAGTGAACAACAGAAACAGGGATGACTTTGAAAGACCAACAAGGGCAGAAGACAAGCAATAGCACACCCCTCGAAAAGCTCTCAGAATCCTGCACCCATCAAAAGGACTCTGTATCACACATACAGTGAGAGCCAAATTGGAACTGCATCTTCTGGGAGACTAGGCATTTACTTTGGACGTGATAAAAGTTGGCAGTCACCAAAGCACTGTTGGGCTACACAGCACATACACAGAGTTGGGAGCTTTGCTCACCTGTTTTTATATATGATGAAGTTCTCTTCTTAGAGATGTTTATCTTTCAATCTCACAAGTCTTTGTAGGAGTGCCAGCAAATTATATTAGCTATATTGCATTTCAGAGAAATGCACGATAACCTCCATTTTTTTTCTTTTGTCTGTTTCAGTGCTTAGAAAAATCTGAAGTGTTAATAATCAGGATTGCTCATTAACCCATCTCCATTAACATCCAAAATTACAGCAATCCTTTTCAAAGCAGACACAATCACTCCAGCAGTGGATTTACTTTCTTATCTCCATATATGGATTGTACAGTGCTCTTAATTTTATGTAGAAACACAGTGACTCCATTAGATGGGAATTTTGTTAATAAAAAGGTAATGTATAACATTATTATTTAATTTCTTTTTAACTTTCATGTTCCATTGCCGGAGGTGGAATTTCATATCTTTCAGTGATTCATTGAATAAAACAAACTTTTACGTCAAATTCTCGTGTCCAAGTTATTTTAAGTGACTCACCCCCAGGAATGAATCCACTACTAACACTGCCAAGGGGTCTAGCACTGTCCATAGTCCCATAGCTATGATAAACTTTGACAAGAAGGAAGGAAATGAGTCAAACAGCTGCTGACAGCCCCATCTGATCAGGACCATAAGAAGCAGCCCTGCATTCAAGGTTAGGGGTCCCACCATAACCATGACCAACTCTTCACTGGTGTGCAGCAAGGAGTTCTGGTAACACAGTTCAACAGTGTGAGGAAAGAGCTGGAATCTGTAAAAAAGCAAAAGGAGAGTGTTTGTCTACACTCCTAAACAGACTATTAAAAAAAAAAAAAGTAGAATCATGCGTGTTGCATTGTAAAGTTGCATCCCTATTGGTGTCACAACCCTCTGACCAAAAACTACATGAAGCTACTCAAAAAAATAAAATTTTCTCCTCCTCCTACCTCTGTGTCTTTTGACCCCCTCTGATTCCCAGTTCACTGGGTGTACCTCCAGGCCCTTGAGACTGTGCAGAAAAGGCTATACTAAGGTGTTACCTCCCAGGCGTCATGAGCACAGGCCCCAGAAACTTACCTGTCTCTGCATACTGCAGCACCTTTGGGCATTGCATGAAGCAGAAAATCTGATATGGAAGACATAGCTATCAGCATGCCTAAAGTGGTTGGAAATGTTCCTCTTGCCACCATGAGATGGTGAGATTTGCAAAGCTCATACAATGAGAAGTTTGCTGGCACTGTAAGAGACATGAACTGCATGGCACTGTGTGCTACACACAGATGCTGTATTTAAGGTAAAAATTTCAATCCAGTTGAAGTGGCTTAAATTTTGCTCCTAGCTAAACTTAAAGTGGTTTGATCCTCACTTTAGTTCTGACTTGTGAGTGTTACCACTACATTTGGTAGAAGTAGAGAGCGCTCAGTTCAGTCTTAGGTTGTTCAGGCACACAGCTACAGACTGGGATGTTGATCCAGGGCATTTTGGCTTGAAAACATTATCCTTTATCTAGTTGACTGCCTGAGACAGCTGTGACTAGTGGCTTTGAACATGACCACCACTCTCTCATGCATTGCTTCCTTCTGTTGAGTTTCCTTTGTTTTCACAGACTCTCGATGCTTGGCCTCCCAGAAGTTTTAAGACCAGCTGGCTGAGCACACATGGGATGTGCAAGGACAGAAGTGAGAGATGGTTGGTTTTGCATTAAGATCTAAAAGACCACTTTAACAGTACCCAGTGCTGTCCAGAGTCTGCTCAGTTCAAATTTTAGCCAATGATCAATCCCACTATCATAGCAGATATAGGTTGGAAAGTTGCATGATACTGGCTCCTAGTGACTGATTCAGGCTTGTGCGATGCTTTAAAGTGAGTAAATTAAAAAAAAAAAGTTTCTATAGAAGAAATCGCCCCTTTCCTAAGCACGATTTAAGTTTCTTGCTCCATTCTCTACCCTACAGCAACATATAGAGAATCAGGTATATATCACTAGTGGACTTGTTTTCCATCTTTTTTTTTTTTCATGTCAAGTAGTGACAAGCAATGATTTTCCTGCAACTCTCTAGGGAGCTCTAATTCCTGAGTTAAAGTCTATGTATCATACAGTTAAAATATGTCAACCCATTGTAGTACTCAGAGTAAAACTGATATATCAAAGTTAAACTCCTAGAAGTATTTTACTCATAGATCACTTCAGTAATATGAAATATGATTTGAATACTTCTTTGGTTTTGTGCACTTCTTAGGCATTTTGAAATACTTTATCCAAAATGATAAATGATTCTTCTGGGAGATACATAACCTGCTAGGTATCTCAGAGAGAAGAGAGGCAGGCATTGACACAAGGCACACAAATGACGCATTGTGTTCTGGGTTTAAAGTTTACATTGCTAACACCTCCACCTGATATGCAAATGTGACAACCTAGGGTCACATTTGCATATCAGATCATCTAGAATCTGGATGCAGTCCTTGCTCTTAGTCTCTGCAGAGGCTCCTATCTGGGCTTTCATGTAGAGCCCTTAGCATGAGTCCTGGCCATTGATTCTCTTCATAGCGCAAAGGAACTGCTTTAAATCAAGTTATTTGGAGAAATATTCTGACTGAGAAAAGAGGGTAACAGGACTTACTTTGTAACAGGAACTGAGATGATCTGAAGGAAGAGCCATTGGCTCAAATAGTGCATGTAAAGTCTCACGAACCAAAGCAAAACTACTAGCAGTGTGAGCAGCCAGAAGTCCCTGGAGCGCCAGTGTGAGGCTCCCAGCTCTGAAAAGACTGTGTATGCCACAAAATGGAAATGCCTCACAACCTGCCGGTACAGTTTCGCTTCAGCAGCAGAATGGCAGCTAGAAATATATGGAAACAAAGCAAAGAGTCATTCGTAAAGACATTAAAGGAATACCAGTTGCTAAAACACTGTAGAGTTCTGTTATAAAGGTAATTTGGTACAGATTCTAATCACAACCTTTGATTGAACAATGCATCTGACAGTAAAATAATTAAAAAAAAGTTTTTCCATGTCAGCCCAGGTGAGAGGTGGCTTCCTTACAGAAATCATGCTGCCACTTTCATAAAGAAGACAACAAATCACATTTAAAATTAAGTTTTTAAAAGTCTTTTCCTTTCATTTTGATTTTCATTTTCTCACAAATTGCTCTCTGAGGAACACTTTTTCCCTTATTTTTCTTTAGAGAAAATGATAAAAGAACTTGTCATATTTGTACTGAAAAGTATTAATTTTATTGAAAACCCATGAACAGCTTTTTGGCATTTGGGTAGGAACATTCGGTCAAATATCTCAGTACACAATGTGGGCTAAAACTCCTCTTTAGTTTCAAATTAAAGAGAAAATAAAAAGGAACTTGCACTGTAAAAGGATTCTGCTACTGAGTGTGGTGTGATTTGCCCTTCAAACTAATTACCGTAGTGCTTCAAAGGGGGCAGAGGGAGATGCAGAGATGCAGCCTTGGCATTATATTTCCAAGAAAATGGAGTATCTCAGCTGATTCAAAGCTGAAAAGACAGTAGCTTCTTTGACCTTTGGAAACTTCTAACTGCTATGCTTATTTCCACCAATTTAAACGACTAAGCAGCTGAGATGTACAACTCTAGGACTGAACATGATGTCATCATGCTCAGATTGTTATTTATGTTGATTAAGCCTTCTGAAAGTTCAGACACATAAAGATCTTTTTGTGAAGGAAAACATACTGGCTTTTTAAAGTGTAGCATGTGACTGGAGAAGAAGCGACAGACATACTTGCTCTGTATTTTATACCCTTTTAAAGCACTTTCCTGTCTACACATATTTCTTAAATAGCAGTGTACATTTCTTTCTTCAGCCGTCACAAAGAGATCTGTGGATAACAACAGAGAAACTTAAAAGGTTTCTGCATTTGTTCTAGGTTTGAATGGGAAAGAGAAATAAAAACACCACACTTGCCAGCCACAGGTCTGGATTTTGAGACCAGCCTTGGCATCATATTACTTCTGACCCTCAGTGTTGAGCAGGATGCATGTGTAGGAGAGGGCATGCTGTCAGCCAGTTCTTTTTTTCATGAGAAGGCTCAAGCTTTAGTTACCTGCTTGGTTTAAGAAGAGGGTGAGAAGTTGTCAGAAACACACCACAAAAAAAAAAAAAAAAAAAAAACAACACAACACAGGTTTTGGGTGACTAAAAGGTTTCAAGTACAAATCACTAAAAATTCTTGCAGAAACATCTATTGGGCTGAGACAGCTAATCCTTGCAGTGACTGTAGTTTAATCTGTCAGGGGTTTTGAAGTTTCTTTGAGACATTACAGTCCATTTTTCTTATATCCCAATCAGTCATATAGTCCTACTTTAGAGACTCAGGGCTACATCATGAATCACCTTCCTCATACTGTAATTATTTTCCCACAGCAGCCTACAGGAACATCACAACACATTTCATTAACATTATGAATTCATAGTCTAGGCTTGTGTGAGAAAGAGACAAAGAAAAATGTAAAATAAGAAATATAATTGACTGTGGTATTATACTACAATAACCATGGAATTCTGAATGTTCTGAACTCTGCAGCTAGATTGCCCTACACTTCCTTTCATATAAAGATATTTTTGTCATCTTTAATAGCTTCCATCAAAGTTTACTGTTGAGGCATTCATTCCTTGAGAAGAGTTGAGAGGGCAGGATTAGCCACACTGGTATTTTAGTTAGACCATATAGTTTGCTGTTTGTGAAAAAAAAAAAGGAAAAAAAAAAAAAAAAAAGAAAAAATAATACCATCCTAGTTCATGATACTCTACTCAGCCTTCATCAAACAAGAATTGCAAAGATGTCCCACCCAGCCTCGCCCATTTCAGAAATCCACATCCTACAGGGATCATTGCCAATCTTCACCTCTGTGCCGAGAGCACAACTAACCATGTATTTTTCACAAAAATCTGGATTTAGATCAACACCTCATTTCATGCTGGAATCATTTACTACTAGATTATTTAGGCTCAATTTACTAAATGAAGCTGCTTCCACATAAGCAACACCAGAGTGAAATGTTCAATGTGACACTTATAAAAGGTTTCAAGACATAAATCCTTCCTTCCAACCCAACACAGAGATGGAGAAGGAGTGTACATAGCTCAAAGCACTGAAAATACCAAGTCCTCTTTCATTCACAGCAGTCCTGGAGCACCAGAAGTACTGAAAAACCTTAGTGACCAAAATATGGGGCTTGAAAGGTGAGTTAACTTCTTGCTCACTGAGGCAGGACCTGGTGGTGCAATGAGCACTTTCATAGGAGCTCCATGAATACACTTATTCCAGCTCTGTCTCTCATTGCTTGGAAGGTGCCTGTGCAAGCACTGTGAGCACAAAGTGTGGTCAAAGAACTTCCCTAAGGTTCAGGCAGCAAAGAAAGTATTCAACCTGTGCTTTCATCAGTTCATTGCTCCCCAGATTACTTCCACTTTCAAGAGGTCGTAAGGGAGCTAATGTCTCCCCCTGTGAGCTGTCATCCTTGCTGAGATGTCAGCTGTCTCAGCCACAAGAATGCACTTACTCAATAAACTTCTACAAATGAAAGTAGAGAAATTCAGAATATGCTCACTTATCAAACCCAAAAGCCTTCCATGCAATGACCCTGCTTAAACCGGCAGAGCAACATCTGTGATGTCTTGGCTGCATCTTTCCTCTGAAAAACAATAGTAGCCCAGAAACTCCACAGAAAGCCAAGCTTGATGGAAGCAAGCTTGGTAGAATCAAATATTATGGTAGAATCAAATGTCCCTTGGTAGAATCAAATATTATTTTCTTTTATTTTTAGAAAAGTAATTTTTTTAAGACTTTATGATTTTCATCAAAGACCTTGATCATAATTTCCTGTTTTTAAATGGAAATTAAAGTCCTCTTTACTGTCTAATTTGTCAGAAGTCCAGATTCTGAGCGTCACTTCTATGACTGTGTAACACCTTGACATGAGCACCACCAGCCAGTGGTAAAAATTGGTGGAAAATGTAGTACGTGCAGTGACCCAGGGAAGGCCCAACCTATAAGTGGAATATCTTCATTTACTTTAAAACAAATTCTGTTGATTCCAACTCACTTGGAAGTTTGGCAAACTATTTCTGAGTACTCATTAATCATGTTATAAGGCTGTTTACTGGCTCCCACTTCAAAACACTGGGCTTTAAATGATCTCTCTCATTAACTGTTTTGAAAAATGAAGAAAGAAAGAGGTAGAAACATGAAAAGAAATGCATCAAACATGTGGAAACAGCCCCTTTAAATACTTTTAGCTGGTGTTAGTAGTGAAAGCTTGAGGATGGAGTGATGGTGCTGGCAGCTACAGATTTCAGAAGAAATATAAAGTTACTGTAGGACAGAGAGCATCAATATTACCTTTCAGAAACCAAACAACCCCTCCATACATAAAAAAAGAAACAAAACAAAACAAACAAAAACCAAACAGAAAAACCAAACAAAAAAAGAGAAAAACACACAAAAAAAATCCCCAACCAACCAACAAAAAAACACAAAACAAAACAAAACAAAAAACCACACCCCTTGGGTGTAAACTATATAAAGTTCCAAATGAGAAGCCACTTGAGCAATGGATTTATCCATGATTCCTTGGATTACTGGTAAGCAATTTGGCTGAATGTTTCTGTTCTAGGGCATTAGTTTTGCATTTTTCTTTGAGAAATGCTGCAGTAACAACTAGCAGAGACCAAATTACCGTAAAAGCATGTCAATTATTTCAATGGAAATTGTTCAAAAGGAAAGAAATGATGTACAGATTCTCCTAAGCTGGACTTGATAATGATAACAACAGAAAAGGCTGATAGAAGTCAGTGTGTGCTGTTGGGTGACACTTTGCTGCTGACAAACCATGGTGAACATTTGTATAATGCACTGCAAGACTGGCACTTAGAACTGATGGTGGAGATAGATCATCAGCCTATGCAACGCTGCTTGCTCTCAAACTGCACTGGTGTGTACCAACTGAGGTATTCAGGATCTAGTCCTGAATGAATCTATTATTTACATTTCATAAAATATGGCAAAATAAATGTTTCTTTGTCACCCATAGAGACAGAGAAGAATTAAAGAGCAAATGCAGACACAAATTACTACTTTATGGAAATTTCAGGGAATCACACATCGTCTTTACAGCCCAAGAGTCAGTGCAACATAGTTACTCAGTTACAAATAAAAAAGACCCCTCCCCACCATTGTCCTAAATGGTGGATATTTAAACTTAGTAGTAAGTAAGAAATAAAGACGCAGGAAATACTGGCCAGTGTTACTACAATGAAATGCTATTGCTTTCAGTGGAAAAATCACAACTCTGTCTGAAGGCCCATCTAAAATTAATGCATGTAGTCCTTCAAATGGAAACCAGTTAGAAGCACCACTGATGAAGCATAAGGCAGAAGAGAATACGGTTCATTTCATTGTGCACAACATAAACATATACATAAAACATAAAAAATTTATTATCATTAGAAGGATTTTATTATTATTCCTTCTGCATAATATTTTTCCTTTTCAAAGCTCGTACTGCGTTACAAGGAAATTGCCATTATTCCAGGCTGTATGGTGATGATACAAATGACTTGCCCAATAAGCCAACGGCAGAGCTGTGAACCGAACTCTGCTGAGTTACAGTCCATTATTCTATCCACTGGATTCCTAATAAAATATTACATTTTTGTTTATTTGTATGCAAAGTGAATATAAGCAGGGAGAACATTTACCAACAATATAGACACTGCTTTTCCTCATCTCTTTCCAGGACACACCTATGCTTCATATTCTTCAGTTTGCAAGCACCAAGAAAGAGGATATCACAAAGAGTTACAAAG